ACTGTGCTGATTGAGGATCCGTAATTTTAAACTTTGGAGTGAACTGATTGAGGATCCAGAGTTTGTCTGGATATCGACGATCGCGATCCTTTGCGTTGATCCCTGTGGATCTCTCTCATCGCACTCACTCCCGATCCCAATACTCTCGTTCAGTTGTCTTTCCGAACCGATCTCCGCTGTTTGACAACAGAACATGAGCATCGCCGGGATCGGGTCTGCCACTGCTCATCACCGCTAATCCCAAATTCTCATGCGCAAGGATGACACGCAAAAAATCGAGAACTGGTCGAATTAATTTAAATTTAAAATAAAATAAAATAAAATCATCACCACTAATCATATCCTTACGATTGGGAATGACAAAACTACATCCGCAATGGGGATTGGGACTGCCATCAATCCCGATCCCCATATCATCACGGCTAACAAATGTCCTGACGATCGGGAACGACAAGAGAGAATGGCATCAATCGACAACGCTTTTTTTTTTTCCCCTTTTTTTTTTTGTTTTTTTGTTGACGGCCCTGATTCCCTGCAACGGCTCGAGCAGCCACCCACACAGTTCTGCAGTAATTCTAATTATATCGGGCCTCGCTCCACTAGTCAACAATCCGCAGGTATCTGGACTGACAGCTGAACCAGATGCGCTGGCACTGATCGAACATTTTGAATGTACCAAAAACATTAATTACCTGATCCGGATACATTTCGAATGTTATGTAGTGGAGCGCCGCCTGGCTCGTAATTATTAAATTTAACGTGTATCTGGCCTGCGGCATGTACACATACATTCAAACAGAGACCTCTGACGGGAAAAAGTTATAAAACCTCCGCGCCACGAAACCTTTGTTTTAATTTCCCCCCAGCTAAACGGGGCAAAAAGTGTCGCAGGCCCCAAAATGACTTTCCGTGACATTTTTGCACCCTGCTTGGGCCGGTAACGCCCGCTGTGCAAAATGGCGGAAAAGTGTTTTCCAGGGCGCAAAAATGACCCCGAAAGTCTTTTTTTTTTTTTTTTTTTTTTTTTTTTTTCCGAAGCATGTACAGATACATTCAAACAGAGACCTCTGACGGGGAAAGGTTATAAACCTCCCCGCCACGAAACCTTTGTTTTAATTTTCCCCCAGCTAAACGGGGCAAAAAAGTGCCGCACGTCCTTCGGGACATCCGTTAAAAAATTGGAACGATACACAGAAGATTAGCATGGCCCCTGCGCAAGAAAAAAAAAAAAAAAAAAAACAAGTGCCGCACGCCCGATCACTTTCGCTGACTGCGGCAGTCAGTCAGTCAGCCAGTCAGTTTTCAACTTTTCACTGCTCTTTCTGCCCTCATCCCGATCCCGGTCCCTTCTGCTGCTGCAGCTATCACAACCATCACAACCCATATAGCTGCTGCAGCAACCCATATCGCTGCATCCCGATCCCTACTACTCTCACCCAGTTCTACGTAGTCCTTCCCGCCTTCACCCGAATAGAACGCCCGGTCATTATAGCTGCATTTGGGCCAACTTTCAGTCCAGATGCAGCGATAATGAGCGGGCGTTCTAATCGGGTGCGGAGTGCGGACTACTCTACGGACTGCAACTACTACCGTCTTCCCCCCAACACAACAACGCACCCTCATTTTGGCCGTATTCTGGCCGGAAATATAGCTTGTATCCATTCATTTTTAGGGTGCGTTATGTTCGGGTGAAGACCGTAGTATTTGTACTACGTTCAGCTCTTTCCTCCTCCCTTCTCCTCCTCCTCTCCTCCTCCTCCTCCTCCTCCTCCTCCTACCACTACTAGGCACCCTCATGAACACCTGCAGTTGCATGTTCTTACCTAGCTCCCGACGTCCCCGTGCAATCGGCAGATTCGGGCTTGCACGGCGTCTGCTTCAACCAGGGCTGCGCAGAGGGGTAGGTCTCTCTGCCTAGCCCGGGTGCCTGCAACCTTTGTCTGGTCAGGTCACCCTGCCAATATGGCAATGGGTGATGGTCCCGGGTGGTTAACACTAGGGTAGGACAGGGGGCTTGGGGTTGCTCCAGGGCAAAAATGATAAGAGGAAGGGTGGGTGGGGTCTTCAGAGGGATTCAGCTGGACAACCGAGTGACCGAGTGCTGTGGGTAACTGTCATTGGTCTAGTATCCCACCTCTACGACCACATGGGCTTTGAAAAAAAAAAAAAAAAAAAAAAAAAAGGAAAAAAAGGACTACTACGGCTGCTGATAGTACCCTTACTACAACCGTCCTCACCCGACTAGAGTGCCCGGTCATAAAGCCGTATTTGGGCCACCTGTCAGTCCAGATTCCGGCTCATTCAGCTATAATCGCCTGGTGTTCTGTTGGGGTAAAAGAAGGTAGTACTGCTACCCGTAGTGTACGTGAAGCCGGTTGGTCCAATTTGGGTCCATACGTTAGTGTCCCGGGGCAAGGTCCCACTTGCGCAAATTGGGAGATTTCGGCCGTTGATCTTTGCTAACTACGGTCAGTATCTCTTGATTCGTGCAAGTGGGACTTAGCCCCCGGGCCGGGTCTCATCCATGGAGGCAGTGGGCGTACACGTCGAGAGCAAGCCTTGGCTGAACTCGTGCTCTACGTCAATAGGGAGCCGAAACTTCAGCATCCACGCAGGCACTAGATAGCCTGAGAGGCTGAGAAGGTATTTCATGCAAGGACCTAAAAGGAAACAAAAAAGGGAGAAAATAAACCCTTCCAGAGACAATTCAATTAAATCTACATATTAGCTATACAAGTTACTACCACCACTAAAAAAATAAAAATAAATAAAAAAATCTACATATTAGCTATA